CACCAAACGGCCCCAGCAGAAACGCCAAAGGGGCTGGTTTGCTTACCTCCTTGCCAGCACACGCCATCGATCCCAGTCGGGTCGCATAAAGAGCGCGTTTCCCATTATTTTGGATTTTGTGTTTCGTTTGCCTTTTTGTCCCAATCCCTCTCAAACGTCACTTTAGAGCGACATCGTATGGTCGGCGCTGAGATATTGATTATATGGCTCATTTTCTGATTGATACTTCAGTACTGGTACTACTCGCTTAAAGGCACAACCCAGGCAGAGGTCGTGTGAACGCTTCCCTTCGGTCTGTAGTATAGACCCCTAGAACAATCACAAATGTGGCGTTCCCGTGCACGGAAACCAACCGACAAGAGCGCTTGGGCCTTGCAAAGTAAGCTGCTGAAGCTGCAGATTTTTCTCTTATCAGGCTGTTGTCTGGCGCTCTCTCATCTGTAGCGCTCTCATACTCTCCTCTCCGCGCTTAGTCTCTCATTCCCTTAGCACAGCCGATTAGGAAGGTGAGTGAGCCCTTAACCTGAGCGTTTTCGACGGATTCTTTCCTTTTTTCTTTACTGCCGGCCCACTTCGCACCAATACATTCGCATTCGTGTGCAAGAGCCACACCAGTGTGATCCTGGGGCATGCCTTTAAGAAACAGCACAGGGGCGAGCGAGATGCAGACGTCAACACATTCAGAATCTGACAGAGTAGTTACCAAGCCTCCAAACAAGATTGACAATAGTTTTCTTTGGCCAACGTTTCGGGCATCCACCTTCCTCCGCGTCCAGAAAGACGAAACCCATTTGGAAGCCACCCGCGCGAACCCTTTTCCAACCTTCAAGAATCATTTAACAAGCTGGAAACGACTGAGACGATATCATGGAGAAAGATGAGAACTAACCCATAGAAATGGTGACCAGAGGTTCGCCTTCGGGTCGTTTATAGGGAATCCCCGGAGGGCCCCAGAAGTCGGACGCGCCGCCAGGGCATGCACAGGAGGCAAAACGAGAACCTGGCGCCTCTCTATTGCGACAGACCCACTATATATCGGGATTATTTGCTCTGGACACTTATCAGACTACTTCGCGTTGTACTTTTGTAAACCTCCGACTCATTGCCCACTAAACATAACTAATATTGCGAGGCAAATGGAGCAAGCTCCCGCCATCTAAATATATTGACGCCAACGGAGAAGCTATTTATTTTATTATAGAATTTTCAGCGAGTAATTGATTCAAAGGTTGATATCATCCAATCCAAACGCGCAACTTGCTCCCCGATCGTCATCCGGAATGGTAACACGATGACCGTGCCGAAAACAAGCCTGATTCAGCACTTGAAGATTCGTATTGCGATTCGAGTAGAGAAACCACCGAACACCTCAAATACTGCGGCTATTGTTACTGTCTTGGACGGATGGCATGGAAAAAATGGAAACGACGGTTTTTTTGTTTTAGTCCAAGTGAGTCTTATCCACGAGAATTACTGCAATGCTCGATCTCAGAAATCGACAACTTTTTTGTTCTTTCTTCAATAGATTCCCCGATTTTTTTTTCGTTCTGCGCTGGTGTTTTTCTTTGTATCTTTGGTTTTTTCTGCTCTCAAACTCTCACGGCATCTTACTTCAGCAGGATGAACTTCATGAAATCTTTAGCATATTGATTAACATACGGGGTTTGCGCTTTGGCGAAAAAACGACGTGATGCGCTTATTCAAGCAGGCATGAAGTCAGATTATATGGATTTTTGATTTTAGTCAAGCGGTCGGCAAACAACCGTTCCTCCTTTTTTGCGTTTTTTTGCCCTCTTGCGCAATACCGAAGTTGCCGTTTACCCCTATAATATCGCCAATATTCCCTATTATATTCTGAGAGTAAAATGCTTAATAGAAACGGATATACCTTAAGGTCGAGTTGCTGACAAGCATCCTAATATAGGCAACAATAAACAAAAATATGATAAATAAATGTAATCCGAAACTTGGGGCGGAAGTGGTGTAGTGACAAGTGGCGCGCTCACCACGCGAGCGGTCCGGGGATCAAATCCTGGGTCGTGAGTCGCCCGGGCCAACCAAGCCTTCCATCCCTCCGGGGTCGGTTAATTGGTACCAGACTTGTCTGGAGGATAAAAAAAACACTGACTTGACATCGGCTGGCCCCCAAGTCATTGTATAGGCCACATCGCATTCAAACGCCACTACGAATGTACAAATGGAAGTAGAATGCGTGCCGCATCCCAAAAAGGGATTGATCAACGGCAAATGCTTTATCCTTTTTATCCTTTATTCGGAAAAAAATCGTCCACAAAGTGTTATTGTTTAGGTTTCCCAGTATGCATTCGCGGTGTGCAGTTTCCGACAGAAGAAATCAGATCCGACGGAATTCGTGCAGGTCGACGGTTTTACCATCGACTATATGCCGGAACCAGATCCTGGTTAGTCATTGTTGGATTTGACCCTCATTCTCTACACAGCTACATCTCCAGAGTTAAAGACTTTGATGCGAGTGGGAAAAAGGATAGCTTTCGAAATTGTATGCAGTGTGGCAGCAGGAATTCTAGAGCAGGAGGCGCACTCCACATTTGAATAAGTGCGGGTTATTGCGTCCAGTATAAAGATTTTTTCGCTGACTGGTAAAACAGTAATGAGAGGAAGTAAAAAAAAACTTATCAAGAAATCTTGAATCGCATCAGGCGCCGATCGTGTGGGCGGGGTTTGCGTTTCGCTCCTACAGGATTTTCATTGTTTAGCTAGTCTTTTTGTTACAGTAACATATGGTTGAACTTGGTAGAAAGGTCAGACCAGATGCTCTGGCAGTAGTGGAGCGCACATCCCGCGCACTGTGTTTTTGAGAATTATTAGCATTTGTGTCACTTTCTTTCATTATCCATGGGCTAACCGCCACAACCATTCCCAAGTACCCACAGTGAGAAAGCTCGTTTGTATAATCTTTCCACGGAAGTGCTTCTATGAACAGCTACGGAAAACTTCGATATTTCTCAGAAGTTTAAATTTTATAAGACCAGGTTTGCTCCGCCCGCTATCGCGCGCATCACAGGGTAGGGAGGAACCACGGAATAGCAGCATGACGTACTCCATTAACCACCTCACTATTGAATGTGTTATACCTCCTTATACCCCTTCTCTCCGGCGCATGGCAGCGCCATGTTCTCCCTCCCTTTCTCCTCTCCCCCTTCCCTCCCTCTTTCTCTCTCCCCCTCCCCTCCCTTCCAGCCTCCCCTTTCTTGCCCCCTTCCCTCTACCCCTGTCCCTGGTCGGTCCGGACGGACAGAACGACACACACGCACACTCACATACACATACACACATACCGACACACCAAAGTTCTGGTTTATATAATGGAGTGATAGCACAACTGTTATTTCAAGCATTTATTTTCGAAAATTTTGCTGACTCAGAATTGAACCTACGAATTTCTGGCCCATAGCTTCATAGAGCTTAGTGTAACCGTGGCTCTGCCCACCATTTCGGGTAGTCCATCAGAACACTTATTTCAGAACTCGCTGCTCAAGGCGGTAAACACTTCTTCACGGCCATCAAAGAGGGAGACGAGCTGAAATTCGCTACTGACGACGAGAATGAGCGACATTTGTGGGTTCAGGTGAGCGAATTAGCTCTACCGATTCTTCCCAAGTCAACACTTCTGGATCTTCTGCAGAAATTCGGTGATAATTATACAATTTTATGCAGCAAATTATTTATTCAGGCTTTATACCGTGCTACTGGACAAGCTTACAAGCCCGTGCCGCCAAAACAGTCCACGGTGTTGCTCCTAAGGCGCAAGGTTTCCAGGACAGCTCACTAGTAATAACACCTGGCCTAGAATGAGATCATACTGTGGGATATGTTCAAGGATTAGTTGGACAATTTGAACAAATTCGAGTCGAGCTTAACTTTTAGGCCGATCCGATCCGATCAGCTTCAATCAAGATCACCTCTTCGCCGATATTCAGCGGCAAACCCTGAATTTCCGTATGAACGAGCCCATTTGCTCATTGGTAAGAGCTCAATCCTTCCGAGGATGCCTCAACTATTTTCTGGATTTGCAGGGTTGGTTCTCACCGGGTCAGGTGTTTGTGTTGGATGAGTACTGCGCTCGGTACATGGTTCGTGGATGCTATCGACACGTTACATTGTTATCGAATCTCCTCGATAAAGCCGATCAGGGTCAACTCATCGATCCCACCCTTATTCACTACTCATTTGCATTTTGTGCCAGCCACGTTCATGGCAATAGGTGAGTTTCAAGAGCTCCGTTGGTGTCAAGCCAGACTTCCTGACCCCCGTGACTCAGTTGTGCGGACCTATTCCATTCGCTCGAAAGAACCCTCTCGCACGGATACAGGTTTTAAAGGCACGATTAGGCATCGAATGGGTGCATTATTTTGTATCAGGCAAGATTTGCAATATGAACATTATCGGACAGAAAAAGCAAAAGCACCATAGGCGCGATTGACAAGGATAGCAGCACGGCAGCATACAAGGCATGCCTTAGGCCGCGTTCATAGTTCGCGACTCGGGAGATTAGGATAGTAGGCGACAGGATATTAGGATAGTAGTAGAGTAGGAGATTGCGCTGACAAGATTGGATACGTATCGATTGAAATCGCTGGAGAGTAGTAGATTGGGCGACTTCAAGCGAATAGATCAATACATACAGTCGATATCTCGAAGTCAGATTAGGCGTGGCTATGGATTTGACGTGGCCGTTGCCGCACTTGATAGAAGCCGTGTGGATAGGCTGTTTCTAACATACTCCGTTGGATATCAGCAAAGCATGCTGGAAGCATCTTATCCGCGCAACTTCTATCAAGTGCGGCGGCCGCCACGTCAAACCCATAGCCACGCCTAATCCGACTTCGAGATATCGAGTATATCTTCTTCTTCTTCTTATTCTTTAGCGTCTGTCCCGCTTGTAGGCGGGGTCCGCTTTTCTGATGTGTTGACGCCACTTTTCCCGATTAAATGCTTGATCGGGGTGGATGTTAACCTCTTCAAGTCTTCGTGCAACGTATCGAGCCATCGCTGCTTCGGGCGTCCTCTAGGCCGCTTTCCGGCACGTCAAGGTTGAGACCGATCTTACGGACACTGTCATCATTCGCGCGAAGAACATGACCATACCATCGAAGACGGGCTTC